TAACTCGAGTTATTTGATAATATGATCGATAGTCATAGATTGAAAATGACTTGAATCTTCGATTCTATATTTTCATCTAAAATCACTTCAGTCATGTTGGAAAACACAAGTAACGCAGAGGGAAAAGTTCAATTGGGCTAAAATCCTATGAATTCAAAGTATATTCCTGAATATCCCTGATTGTTTGGGTTATGGACTCACTCGTAGTAAATCTGAATTTATAATTATTATTATGTATAAAGGTTCCTGAACGTTTTCTTGATGCATATAGAAACTTAGTGGAATTCTAAAAGTATCAATCTGAAATGTCTGATTAGATCGGTTAGAAATCGATTCTCTTCAATAAGAACTTATTATTGGAATCTGATCAAATTGCACAAGTTCATGTTATCCATATTGATAACTACAAAATGCATCTGAAAAATAATTGGATTCTCTAGTGTGTACCTTTTATTTTGAAAAATTGTTTATTGTTTTAACATGTGGTACACTGAAATCTATGGTTACTGTTTTATGGATGCATCGACTTAACGATAATGGCTTATGGGTTTGTATAATTGTATAAACTATATCTTGGAGATACAGATTTGTAAAGTACAGCTCTGATCAAGCTAGAAAATTTTTATGGACCTAATGTGACTCTTAGGTAGGCTCTGCGGCCTTGAGATCATTCTCGGGTAGGCCCTGTGACCCTAAGATGTGTTCTTAGGTAGGCCCCACGACCCCAAAATCTATCTTGGGTAGGCTCTCAGGCCCTAAGATGTTCCCTTAGGTTAACTCTTTGTAAGATGGTTTTAAAATACGAATTTAAAAAGCTCCACTACAGTATAGTTTATGGGATTTTACTGAAATATCATTTGATTAGTGTACCTATTATGGTTTTATCGTACTGATGGAACACACTAGGCATCCTATTCGATCTCATGAAAACGTGATAGTATGAAAGGTTTCTCATGAATTGAGATTCATGGCTTCTACTCGATGAACTTCTAAGGGAACCCCAGATTATTCCGCCCACTGGTATACTTATGATTCAATAAGGAAATTATGGCTTCCCATTTATCTGCATGTCATATAGCATCATCTGGCAGTTCTGTATTACTGAGCTTTCCGAAGCTCACTCTATTACTCAACATTGCAGGTTAAAAGAATTGTACCAGTGCAGCTATCGACATCAGTAAGGGAGTTCTTTCGAACATTGTTTTCAGAGTATGATACATGTGATTAGGGGGCATGTAATTGTATTTTGTTTTATATACGAGTCTGAAAATCTGTTTTATTTCTGAATACTAATAAATGATTTTATACGTTACATGTTTTATGAAAAGTTTTTAAATTTTCTGCTATTTTTACAGTGGGTCGCTCCGGTGGCCCTAATGTGACACTCCAGATCGGATCGGGTTACCCGCATCGGTCTGAGGGGGTTACAATGCATTCGTTCAATGTCAAACCTTCAGTAAAGCAAGTCAAATAGAAAAAGAGAAGGTTGACTATTGACAAAATTCAGGGAGAAAATAAGAAACGAGTAAATTTTTGGCAGAATGTTTCGTCAAAGAAGTGACATATCCATAGTGGATCTCTAATGCTGTTATGCTCAAGAAGGAAAATGGAAGTTGGAAGATGTGCATCAATTTTACAAATTTAACGTAGTGTGTCCCAATGATGGTTTCCCATCTGTCTCAAGTGACAGATTGGTAGACTTTATAGCGGGGAACTCATGTATGAGCTTCATACATGCATTTTCAGGTTACAGTTAGATCCATATGGATCCTTGGGATCTAGAGAAGCCAACATTGATCATAGAAGATGACCTTTTCTGTTACAGAGTTATGCTCTTTGGGTTGAAGAATGCTGAAGCCACTTTCTAACGCCTCGTCAAAAAAATCTTCAAAGATCAGATTGGGAAAAACAAGGAAGACGATATGGATGAATGATTGAGAAAAGTTCATCCATGGAAAAACATGTGAAAAACCTAAAAGATGTCTTCTAGGTCCTCAAATTGTATGACATGCACCTAAACTTCTCTAAGTGTACATTGGTGTAGACACAATCGAGTTTTGAGTTTTCTAATCTCAGATAGAGGGATTGAGGCTAACTTGAAGAAAATCTCATCCACTACCGACATGAAGCCTTTAAAGAAAGTTAGAGAGGTATAGAGATTTATTGGATGGATCATAGCCCTAAATAGGTTCATCTTGAAGATGACATACAAGTATATATTGTTCTTCAAAACCCTTGGCTCTAAGCCTTTCCAGTGGAATCTTTAGTTGTATTTGATCAAAAATGGTAAAGATACTCGCAAAGAGACAGAATAGGGTTAACTTCCCGTGTATTATGTCAACAAAGTCTTGCAAAATAATGAATTGAATTACTTAAGGAGAGAAAAGATCATTTTTTGCAATAGTGGTGGTTGTGAAAAAACTCCAACAATATTTCAAGGTTTTCCCCATCTAAGTCCAACCTTTAAAGGAGGTATTCCAACAATCGACTCCACTGAGAGAATGGTAAAATGGAGCATTGAGCTAAGTCAATTTGGCATCAAGTTTGTGCCAAGGTGGGCCATTACGGCCCAAGTTCTAGTAGAGTTTGTGACAAAATGCTCATTCACTACCTCTACTGACAGTGTGTTTCCTCGAACTATTGAAATTGCCTTTACTTTGAAGCACCATAGCCCTTTATGAAAAGAAAAGAGGATTCATCAGAAGTTAGTGCCCTGATCTTCGAAGGTAAAAGGTTGGTTCGTTCCTTGCATGCATGTGTTTGCTTAGTTTTGCTTTTCTTATTTTGTTTTAGTTTCTGTTTGCTTTTGGGTTTTTCACTTGTCTTTATTTGGGGACAGCTGGTTGTCACTTGTGGTTTGGACATGTCTTGGTTCTTCGTTTTGTTTATTTAATTCAATAATGATTCAAAAAGAATATTACATTATTTTATTTTGTTATGATTTGGAATTAGATTTACCAAATGTAAGATTACGAAATAGGGTTATGAAAATTATTACATTATATCAAAATGTAATGTTATGATGTTTGAGTGAGAAAATATAAGTTTATTTTAAGTCATATTTTATTAAATTGTTCTAATTACAATATTTATTTCTTAGAATAAAATTAACTCTCTAATAGTTTAACATACTTAAATTATGACAAAAGTAAAATATTTTTTCAAAAAAATTATGAAAGAAAAATAAACAAAACATTCCTTCCATCTCCATTCCTTCCATCTCCATTCCTTCCTTCACCCAAAAATTAAAATGATAATTTTTCAAAAATGTTAAAAATTATAAACAGGGACTTCCTTTTTTTTAATAAGAAACACTGGTTTTATTAAAAATAAAAAAATATTTTAAGTTACAATTAATATTTATAATTATAATAGTAAATTAAACACATAATTAGGACAATTTCCTATAATTATTGAAACAAGAACTAGCAACTTAAGATCACATAAGAATTATACAAGAAAAGATTAAAAATCTAACCAAAAACTTGAACAAAGATAGATACGAACAAATTTGATCGCATCGACAAACGAATTACAAAAGATGATCAAATTACTGAAAGATCACCGACAAAGTGCAAATCAGACTCGAGCGACATGAAAAGTTATCCACAAATGCAAATTGGGTATCCAAATCTAATAGAAGAGACCAAAGCAAGGAAGATCAACAAGATAACATATAAGTGTCATCATAATTAGTTGTGATGGTGTCAAATTAACCTTAAAAAAAGATAAATAAAAAACCACGAATTGTATTCATAAGAAGGATAATTGAATTTTAAATTAAATAACAGAGTATATTGTTATGAGTTTATAACAAAATTATAAACATAATGTATATTTAAATAAATAAATGATAAAATATGTATAATAATAGATATTAGAATTTATAGTTGGACTTAAATTAAAATGGGAAAAATTAATTAAAATAATAAAAATAAAAGGTCAGTCTATAATCTAAGATTACCTCCATAATCTTAAAGTAGGATGGAATAAGGTAAAATTAGGGGTGTAAATGAATTGAGTTTCGATGAATAATGTTGTATTATTTTTTTTGTTTATTTTTAAATGTGTTTATGTTCAATTCGTTTAAATTTTTAATATCGAGTTCGTGTTTATTTCTTTTTTTAAAAAAAAGTGTTTGTATCCCTTTGTTTAGCGTTTGCGACCATATTCGTTTATATATTCAGAAATTCAAAAAAACAACTGGTGCTAAAGAAAACTGGTAAAATTACACTACTAATGCTTAAACTCCTTAAGCTTCAAAGTTTAAACTTCAAATTTCACCATGTGATCAATTTAGACCCTACATCACCAATAATTAAAATATGAAAAAAATTTAAGAGTAAAAGAGTCATTAAACAAACTTGTTCATTAATATAAATATATGGGTCGATAAACGAGTTTAATCATAAACATAAACAAACGAGTAGATAAACGAGCTTGTTCATGAACATATTAACGAATCAAACACACCTCTATTCATGTTAATTCTTTTATTAAATGAACATAAAAAATTTATTCATACCCATTTATTTAGCTTACCAAACGAACATTATATGAACAATTCACGAACAGTTCATCGAACGTTTTGTTCATTTACACCCCTAGGTGCAATAATATTGCAACCAAAGATAAACCGAAGAAAAATCTCGTCTGTTTTAAATCTCATTTTGTTATTTCTATTAATAATCTATTTCACCTCCTACTATTTTATAAATTCATACTCCCTAAATTTTATAAATTCACTTCTAACACAAAACCTTACTTTTGTCCCTGATTATACCCTATTACATGTACAGTAATGCCTGTAATATTTGTAAACCAAACATAATTATCCCATACCGAAGTCTAAATTACACCCTTATATTATACCCTGTCCGGTTGCAATTGCAAAAACTAATGCTGCAATTGCAAAACTAATGCTGCAATTGCAACCTATTAAGTAGAAGCAAATCAGAGCAAGGCAGCATCTGAAGCACAGTAAAAACACAGATACAAACTACAGCAATTTCAGATCACATGGGAGGTAAAACAAAAATAACTCTATTGATAATACAGATAAAATAACAAGTTATGATTTAGAAAAGTGAAACTCAGAATGTCAAGAGCTACATGTTTGCCGTTGTTTCCTTGATTTCTTCCATTGTGATAGACTGCACACCAAGTATACATTTAGTCAGACTCACCACAAACTGCATGAAAATATCTGGATACTTACGAATTGATGCTAGTAAATACCAAATACGAACAAACTATGTTACCCAAACTCCGGCAAGATAAACTACGTTGCAAGTCCCTGTAGTATCGGCTCAAGTACAAATTAGTCACATAAAAGTGATCAATTTAGTCCCTTTTGTGACTTTAAGACACTATTCCAAAGCATTGAGTCATTGGAATCAGCTATATCACCACACCAATCTATTAACGAGTAAAAAAATTTCAAGTTATTCGAGTTGCCGAATCCTATTTGTAACTTAAAACTTTATTTAAAATTTTTTCAAGTTGAGTTTACAAATTTCAATTTGTTCAAGTTTCTATTTAAATTTAATTGTAAATATCTATAATGTTTTGGTGCTATTTTATTCCAATTTAAACGATTTTCTATAATCATATACAATATACACATATATTTCTTCATATTTTTCATATGTAATATATATCATGCAGAGTTGAGGGACTCAACTCAAACTTGAAAGTCAATCCACTAATTACTAAAAATTTCGAGTTATTGCATTTAAAAAAAATTCGGTTCGAGTCAAAAAATTATGTTTTTTGAATCGAGACAAGTTTTGCTCACCCCTAATATGCAGGTCCATGAAGACTCAGATGATGTTAGTCAGAGGGGACCAGTTCTCTCTTACCCCGCTCCATCATATGTAACACAATACAAAGAGTATAAATAACCCTCCCTCTCTCTCTCTCTCTGAGAGCAGGGGCCTAGAGCTTTCTCTTTATTCACAAGGGGAAGACCTCTAGACCCAAGAGCATCAGCTGGTGGCTCTTCGTCCAATCTAGAAGGGGTGAACCACAAGCCGTTGGCCACCTCCTTTCCGTAACCTATTGAACCACCGTAAACCACCATCCCATATGTTGGACCTCAACACATTTACATTTAATTTTGAAGCAAAGAAATAACTTCGAACGTTAACAATGCTGATTTATCGTGTTTTAACCTGACGTGGATAAAAATGGCACATTTTAATAGTATAATGATTAGTTTACTCCTAAGGTTATAATAGTACAAGGACCCACCAAGTAGTTTAATCACTCGTGTATAAGTTTCAGATACGAGTATATATCCGAAAGGGTATGCTTAATTTCTTTTCAAGATTTCCATGTAATTGGAGGATTATATCTCCATTCCCATCTCCGAACACACAATGGCTACAAGTACTTCGAGAAAAACGAAGAACCTAAGCAACATGACCAAGGAGAAAAATCTAGGAAAATACCTGATCTTGGCCAGCAAAATCATTATCTGCAGTGAGAAATAGCATGCAGTGACATTCTTTCCTGCAAAATAGTTGTATACATTCAGTAAAAGAACTTAGATTAAACTAATGAATTGGCATAGTAACCGTAAACTAATGAGAAAGAGCATTTAGTGTCAGACATCCTCATATCCATGTCTAAAAATATATCAGACAGGAGTATTTCAAGAAAACTGAAGAGTCAGAAAAACATAGCTTGGGCAACAGCCTCCAACAAAGACATGCTTTAACTGTTATAATTGATAATACAACTGCAAACTTTCAAATCATACAATAACTTGCCTTGCTATCAGAAAGAATAAAATGCATGAATCAGAACTCAAATCCCAAGAAAATACCTAGCACCTTTTGCCACGTTAAACCAAAACTCATGCTCCAAAGATAATATCAACCTTTGACATAACATTTAAAAAAAAAATAAAAACCTTTGACATAAATCCTCTTTCCTTAGCACCAGATTTCTTTTTCAAGTTGTTATTAGAATTATTTTGAATCGTTAAAGTATCACAGAAATCTTTCCCCACGTAATACCTTCATTGCTACAACTACTTGCCGAAAGTTCTTTGAAATCAATCTCGATCATGATTGATGACATTAAAGTTCCTTTCTTAATTTCACAAAATGACTAACTGGTTCATCAGGACAGTGCGCTCCAGTTCAGGAGCTTCCACTAAAGTCAGTGATCAGAAAAGTGACAAGCAAACATTGTTAAATGGGGGATCTCAAAAGGTTCTATACGAATAACAGTAGTACTGGTCACCTTGTTAGGAAGGTCGTTATCGACTACATATTTCTAGGATGAAACTAAAGATATATCTACTTCTGGACTTCCCATACAACTCAAGCAGTGAGACCAATTTACATAAGGAATATACATTAAAAGATATCATGACAATGTATTCACCTTTCTCTCATAGGAACACATGGGCAGTTCCAAAACCCCTGCCCTGCCTCAGCAGCTTTGTCGTCATAATGCCTGAAATAATTTGGATTTACATTTAAAATGTTATTGAATCTTATATAGCTATATATATCAAGATACTCGAGTGTAATGGGATTTAATAGTCTGGAACAAGACACAGATCATGGAGGAAATATTTACCTACAAGGGCAGAGAGGAGCACCCAACGTATCTTTATGCTCAGCCAATCCCTGTCCACGTATCCGAAAATAAGTTTTTGTTTATCATGAAATGAAAAGATGAGCGGACTTGATGGATTTAATAAAGAGTCGGAGCAAGAACAAGGTTTATGCTATGTTCAAGTAGTTTCATAAAAAAAATCCAGCATTCAGGAAAGTACATCACATTCAAGAAGATCCAAACGAAGGCACAGATTAGTTGGAATAGTAAAGTACAGCATTTAATCATTCTTCAATTTGTCTTGTTGTTTTTGAATGGACAGGATGCAGTCCTTTCGTCCATCATTTGAAGACAAAGCATTAAAAATTCTTGAATTCAACTTCTCTGATAGGTAAACCTGAACAGAGGCGGAGTTCTATATTATCCAATAGAACTCGATCAGACTTGATAAAGTACAGAATTTCTGCACTCAATTTCTTCCGGTTACAAACAAATGTTCACCAAGAATATCTAATTTTTCTGCGAGAGGTCTAGAATAAAACACTAAATGATAGGATTGTTCCGGATTCCCTTCAAATGACCTAGCTTATTGATTCCATAACTAGGTACTTAGCCCTTGAGTTTGGTGAAATGCATATTAGATACAGACTAAACAATAGCTCTAACAAAATTTATTAGCTAAAAGTAAGATCTTGCAACTGAAAAATATCATATAGCTTCCATTGTCAACCATATAACAATGCTTCACATCCAACTCTTAAGACTAATATGTGAAGCTTTTTGAGCTGCCTCTGCAATTCAGGCCTTTGAATGTTTCACTTAAGGTAGGGTTGAAATCAGGTAATGACTCATTTGTGAAGATTTTTCGAAACTGAGATGCAAAATAAAGAGATTCAGCTCAATCATTGAAGAGCTGAGTCTAAAGAATACCTTGATAACAACAGAAGTCACTCCCTTATCCATACAGAAATACGTGCCTGATCGACGAGCATATTGTTCCGAGAATTTCCTCATTATTTCTACAGATTTCTCTGATGGTTCCACTGAAATACAAAAGAAAAGAACCCCGAACAATGTGAACAAAAAAGAGACATTTGACTCACATAATCACATGATATTGAAACCCCAGGAATTTTATCAAACAGATAGCCAACAGTGTAGCGCCAATTCATCAAATTCAAGCCAAAAACAAAAAGGTAAGAAACTTAAACTCATATACTCACATAAGACTGAAACCCCAAGGCAAAAAACCAAAAATGCAGCCCAAACAGATCAAATTATAGCTAAAATGATTATACAAAACTTGGGAATTCACTAAAACAAGCGAAGTTATTACCTTGAGCTCTGGTTACAAATCGACGAAGGGAAGTTTTTGGAGGGCAGGGAAGAGGAGAAATGCCTCCAATGTTAAAGGAACTTGCTTGTAGAGTCATGGCTTTAACTGCAAAGGAAGCTAAAGTTTAATCAACTTCTTCTTGGAATGTGCTTTTTTATAGTTTCTGATATTTGATAGAGTCCTGAGATCATCATTTGATTTTGGGTTTTCCAAGTTTTTACGAAAAATTCGAAAGGCTCTCCCTTTACCACTTGTTTTTGAGAATATCAACCAACAAATTACATAAACCACTCATCGGTTTGTCTTTCAGCCACTAGCCACTCATCGGCATCCATTAGAATAGTTTTCCTTTTGGTAAACTATATACGTGGTCTCACTATTATTATCGTCTTTATTTTAATCATGAAATTATTTTTTTAACATTTACATCACTAATGATAGATTTTTATTCTGTTTTCGTCATTAACAGTTTAAATTACGTTAAACTTTTAATTTAATGTGATGAGGATATAAATCTAGTAGGCTTAATACAAAAATAAGTGACTAAACTATGTCTTGAAAAATATTTTAGTGTCTAAAGAATTTTTCATTAAAAATAGATGCCTAAAATTTTCTCTGTTATACTTTTAGGTGGCTAAAGTTTTATTCGTTTCAATTTTAGGTGTCTACCGTTAAAAAAAACCGTTAAGTGACATGTGTCACGTTCATATTTTTTAAAAATATTTTTAAATAATATTTTACTTTTAAAAAAAATTGATGTGACACGTGTCACTTAACGGTTTTTTTTAACGGTAAGCACCTAAAAGTGAAACGAATAAAACTTTACGCACATATGTTAGCGAAAAATTCTTTAGGCACTAAAAACTAATTTTGAGTATAGTTTAGACACTTATTTTTATATTAAGCTACTCTAGTATAAAAACAAGGATAAATTACGTGTTTAGTGCATAAACTATCAATTTTAATTCAATTTAATATCTATTTTTTTCAAAAACTATGCCTAACGTTTAGTTTATGTTTCATTTTAATACTTTGTCATTAAAAATTTAACGAACGGGTTGACGTGGCATAGTTCCGGTGGACGGATGACCAATCTGAATGGTGGACCGTGAGAGAATTACAAAGTCAACCAACATACTCCAGTTTTAGGCCCATCATACAGTGGACCATGGAGATCGAAGGATGAAGAAATCGAATAGTCCATTGTTGATTTGGGAAATTTGAGGCAATTCCCAATGGAACGAAGGCCGAAATCATGTTCAGGTAAAAGGTGCAGGTTGGAAAGTTTGAGCTTCATCGATGATAGATGTGACAATTGACAAATGTAGATGTGGCTGCCTGTGAGCCTGTTCGTTAAGTTTTTAACGACGGAATACTAAAATGAACAAAAACTAAACATTAGGTATGATTTTAAAAAATATAAAAATTTAAGTACTAAAAAGGACCAAAATTGATAGTACTAACGCGTAGTTTACCCTAATAATAATTTTAGTCTTTAAAATTTATATTGTTAGGATTTTCGGAAGCTCGAAACGACAACCGGAACGATTTGCAAAGAGGGGTCGGAACGGTTTTGTGTTTAGGGAGTAAGGAGATTGAAAGATAGAGAATTGGACAGCGATTTATAGTGGTTCGACTTTCTCAATCAAAGTCTACATCCACTACCTTAGCTCCTCACCAAGGATTTTCCAACAAATTCACTAATTTGTTCTTTCTTTTGAGGATAAAGAGTAACCTTACAAACTCCCTAGTTTTTCCGGGCTAAACTAGAACATTTTCTTAGCTTTTACACGGGCTAAGCTAGAACCTTTCTCCTTTACAAAAGGATAAAAGATGTAAACAATAAAACCTCTCTAAGGTAGGTGTTTACAAGAATTAAGCTCACAAGAACAAAATATTTACAAGAGAAAGATGAAATAAGAATGAAAAACTCTTCTCTTGTGTTTGATTACTTGGATAGTTGTTCTCTTTCTTCTTCAAGTGTCCTTAGCTTGTATTTATAGCTTGGAATGTGTTTGAAGTCATATCTAGCCGTTGGGGATGTTTTGGAGCCGTTTGGGAATGATTTTTCTGCAAAACTAAGCTGCCCAGAATGGGGGGAATCGGTACCCCTTCATAGGGAATCGATACCCCTTCATAATATTCAAATATTATGACCGTTGGGCTGATGAACAGTGAGGGAATCAGTACCCCCTTGGGGGGAATCGGTTCCCCTTTTACATACTGGAATTTTTGGGCCTCGGGGTTACTGTTCAAACAGTGATTCATTTTTCAATAGTAATTTACTGTTCAAATAGTAAATTACTATTCATAAAAATATTTTTGTGGTCAATTTTAAATTAAAAGAACTTTGAATTATTTTTGTAAATTTTGAATAAATTCAATTAAGTCCAAATACATTTTGTAAATTCAATTCAAGTCCAAAAACCATTTTTGCCTTAAATTGTTATATCGAAACATAGTTCAACAATCTCCCCCTTTTTGATATAACAAAACATTTGAAAAATTGTTTTTGGCAAAAACTCCCCCTTAATAAAATGTTTAATAAAAAAGATACTAGTTGTTGGAAAACATATGAAAATGTTAAGCTCCCCCTTTTTTCATTAAGAAATTGAATTTTTCAAACTAAACTTCTCCCCCTTTTTGTTATATCAAAAATAATTCGATCTTTGAAGTTTAAAATAACTTTGGAGAGTAAGTAGTAAATTTTACATTTAAAAATAATTTGAAAAATCAAAGCTCCCCCTCAATAAATGTATTCCAAACAAAATTAAGCTTTTAAGATCTTGACACTTAAACAAAATATTGAATTTCTAAAAAGAATAACAAACATGTTTGTAGCACATGAAATTCAATATATCCAAGTCTAAAATACTTTATGCAATACCAATTGTTGAAATTTGATATTAATACCAATTGCTAAAATTAAGTGCATTTGCATAAAGTTTTCCAAAAATATTATGCAATTTTAAAAATTTGATATCAATTGCTAGAGAGATATCATTTTCATTTAGACCACATGCATAAACATTAAAATTTAGGCTAAAAATTAAAATTTATAAAATCAAAGTATTTGAAAAATTGATATCAATTGTTAGAGAGATATCAATTGCATTAAAACCAATTTTGACCAAAATTTTATTATGATGAACTAAAAATTCTTAAAAATTAATATACCTTTAAAATGTTCATCATAATCATCTTTTCAACATACATGAGATTAAAACAATGATGCATAATCATTTAAAAACAAAACTCATGCATGCTTAAAATCAAATGAGCAACCAAATAACCAAAATTAAAAGCATTAAGCTTAGAGGTTACCCATTCCTTTTTCATGTGTGGCTAGAGCATCTTGAATATCATCACTCTCATCACCATTGATCCCACACATCTACAAGAGACATTTAAGTAGATTTTGGTATCCAAATTGCTTTGGATCCTTGGACGTTAGTTTCAATGCCCCTTGTTCCTTTCGGAACTCATACTTGCCTAATTTTAAAACGTTTTCCTTTCTTCAAAGGACAAGTATGTTCCAAATGACCATGATAATGACAATGTGAGCATATTGTCATTATTGAACTAAATAAATTATTTAAAATGATTTCTTTCTCTTTTGTTAAGCATTCAAGCTTAACTTTTAAATCAAAATTTTGTTTTTCAAAACTATCAATTTTTATTTTTGAAAGCTCTAAATCCTTTTTCAAAATTTCATTTTGGCTTTCAAAATCTATTTTTGTTTTCAAAAGAAAATCGTTTTCAAATTTAAATTTTGAAATCATTTTCTTATATTTGGAGTTCATGGTCTCAAACTCCGAATATAACCTATTAAAAGCATCTTGTAACTCATCAAACGTATATGAATTAAATTCATTTGAGTTAGAAGATACCTCGGCCTCTTCATAAGCCATTAGAGACACCACCTTTGTTGGTTCTTCTTTCTTGTTTCCATGGATTTCCTCGAGCTTATTCCAAAGCTCCTTGGCACTTGAACATGAAGAAACCCCTTCATAGATTTCATGACCAAATGCACAAAACAACATGTGCATGGCCTTGGCATTAAGTTGAGCTTTCTTCCGTTCTTTGTCACTCCGCTTCTTCTCCTTCTTCTTTGGAGAAGAGTAGCCATTCTCGATTATCTCCCATACATCAAGATCATTGGATTGGATGAATACCTTCATTAATTTCTTCCAATGATGATAGTTGACTCCATTGAAGTATGGAGGTTTTTCGGTTGGTAGGGAGTCTTCCATGTGGAACGAGCTGGAGGTGGAAGCCATCTTCTCGGTTGTGTAGGGAATTGGTAGAGCTTCTTCTAGGATCATCTCAAGGTGGTTAAACCTTCTTAACGAGTTAGGCTCTGATCCCAATTGTTAGGATTTTCGGAAGCTCGAAACGATAACCGGAACGATTTACAAAGAGGGGTCGGAACGGTTTTGTGTTTAGGGAGTAAGGAGATTGAAAGATAGAGAATTGGACAGCGATTTATAGTGGTTCGACTTTCTCAATCAAAGTCTACATCCACTACCTTAGCTCCTCACCAAGGATTTTCCAACAAATTCACTAATTTGTTCTTTCTTTTGAGGATAAAGAGTAACCTTACAAACTCCCTAGTTTTTCCGGGCTAAACTAGAACATTTCCCTAGCTTTTACACGGGCTAAGCTAGAACCTTTCCCCTTTACAAAAGGATAAAAGATGTAAACAATAAAACCTCTCTAAGGTAGGCGTTTACAAGAATTAAGCTCACAAGAACAAAATATTTACAAGAGAAAGATGAAATAAGAATGAAAAACTCTTCTCTTGTGTTTGATTACTTGGATAGTTGTTCTCTTTCTTCTTCAAGTGTCCTTAGCTTGTATTTATAGCTTGTAATGTGTTTGAAGTCATATCTAGCCGTTGGGGATGTTTTGGAGCCGTTTGGGAATGATTTTTCTGCAAAACTAGGCTGCCCAGAATGGGGGGAATCGGTACCCCTTCATAGGGAATCGATACCCCTTCATAATATTCAAATATTATGACCGTTGGGCTGATGAACAGTGAGGGAATCGGTACCACCTTGGAGGGAATCGGTTCCCCTTTTACATACTGGAATTTTTGAGCCTCGGGTTACTGTTCAAACAGTGATTCATTTTTCAATAGTAATTTACTGTTCAAATAGTAAAGTACTATTCATAAAAATATTTTTGTGCTCAATTTTAAATTAAAAGAACTTTGAATTATTTTTGTAAATTTTGAATAAATTCAATTAAGTCCAAATACATTTTGTAAATTCAATTCAAGTCCAAAAA